CTGCCAGGACTTGATCAACATGGCTTTGTTCTTGAGGCAATCCCTTTCCACTTGGCTTGAAGCACTCAGACCCTGGACAAGCAAGCCTTTACAATCATGGTTCCTAGCTTCAGGAATGCCTGTGGTGACCGCAATTCAACTTCTTTGCTGCAAGGGGGCCTGAAAACCTCTGCTGGACTGAGAAATGTCAGTGCTTTAAAATATACTCTTCATTTATTATGGGGATTATTTGGCTGAGCACATTTGTAGAGGGAAAGTTCCTTTCCTGTCCCACCCTGCCCAGTTCAGTCCCAAGTTTGCTTTTCCTCCCCTAGAGAGTCTTCAACCTTCTTACCCGTGAAGAGTGCAGGCTCGGGGGGCTCAAGGAATGTACTGCAAGTTTTACACAAGACTGTAAAAGTGCCCACACTGTCCTTGGTTTTGTCTGAGCACCAATCTAGGAAGACGCTGATCTGGTTGATCATGTGTACATTTATGCCTTCCTCCATCTGTACAGTGCCCTAGGGTACCACTCATATCTCTTCCTTATCCAATGTGATGCCTCATCTTTTTTTTTTTTTTTAAACCATACTATTTTTTTAAAGCTTTTCTTGTGAATTGAGTGAAGGTCTATATGGCAGATCATCAGTTTTACATCCAACCATTCAGTGCAATGCTTACAATGCCCTCCCTGTACCATCAACTAACAGTATTCACCTCTATTACCTTTTTTTTTTTTTATGTACACATACCACATTGGAAATACTAGATCATCAGTTTATATTCAACCAATCACTGCAGTGTTTACAATCCCCTCCATGTACCTACCCATCAGCTAATAGTATTTACCCCAATTACTTTGTTTTTTTGATGTACACATACCACATTGAAAACACATACTCATTTAAATGTCCAAAGGGCACATTTTGCAAACCAGCTTATGCCCTAAGGCACACGGCTTTTCTCGGTTCATGGGCCTGTAGTCAGCTGCTGCTCTATTTACAGGTTATCGCCTATGTCATCTCTGCTGTCTTTGCTTTTCTGGTTAGGATCCCTCGCTCCTCTCATGCTCTTTCCTCTTGATGGTCCTAGGGGCCTCTCTTCATAAAATGACAAATTAACTTCTCCCTCTTCTAAATTTACAGTTGTGGCAATCACCATTAGTCCTGATAACAATTACTCAAAATTGAATTATAAAATCCTAACCCCATTATCACCAGATCTATCTGGATAAGAGGAAAACTATTCAGTAGGGATTCTATCTCTTGTCCCCCTCTTTCTGACCCTAACCACCCTCGCAAAAGCTTGTAAGCCAGTCACTTAGTGCTTATTTACATGTCTCCTCCAATTCTGATAGCTGAAGTCTAAGTTTGCCTGCCTGTGTGCTGAGGAGGGAAGCTTGATCCTTGATATGAAGAAACCTTCCCTTTCAGTTGGAAGTTTTGGGCAATTTCATGCATAAGCAAAGGTCCAGTTCATCAAATTGTAGCAATTTACGCTAGCTCCCTGTATCAGACTTCTTTAACTTCATCAGAGAGGTCTGCTCAGCAAGCCTGATGCCTCATTTTTTAAAACTTTTATTGTGAATTATGAGATAGTTTATTGCTATGGTTACAATCCCCTCCATGCATCATCAACCAACCAAATGGTATACCCTGCAAGCCTGCCCTCTGGTCCTCAGCACACAACCCCTCTCCCTCTCTGGGTCTAGAGTTCCCAGCTGCTCCAACTCTCCATGTCATCGTCTCTGCCTCCATCTTTGGTGTCACTGTTTCTTGGTAAGGTACCGCATTCTGCTCTTGTCCCTTGATGGTCCCAGGGGCCTCTGCTCCTGGCCTGCAAAGTCAGCTACTCCCCTCCTTCTGTTACAAAATGTCTACCTTTACATTTCCAACCTTCACAGTCAGTCCTGATAGTAATTATTCACTATTGTACCACATGAGTGCTATCCCCATCTCCTTTCATCAGTCCTTCCCTGACAGATTGGATACCACTCAGTGGAGATTCTACCTTTCTTCGCGCCCTCTGGATCTAAGCTCCCTCTTGAAAGCTTGTAAGCCAGTCACTTCTTGCCTTTGTAGCCCCCTCCCCCCCCATTTTGGGTAGCCAATGTCCAAATTGCCCATCCCTGTCTACCCTGTGTATTGAGGGGGTGGGAATGATCCTTGCTATAAAAATATGTTCCCTCTTTTGAGCTGCATCCATAGGTGTAGGTCAAGTTCATCAAATTACTCTTTTTTTCCTTCTAGTTGAGCTCTGATCATCCAGCCATTGAAGCCAGGTCAAGTGGGTATTATTTGCAAGTGTGGGTGTTCTTGTGCATATCCCCTCACTTATCAGCTGGACACCTCAGTCTCCGCTCTAGTCATCTGTGGCTATGTCACTGACTCTGGGCCCAGGAGTCCCCAGGTCTTGCCACACTGGTGGCCAACCAGGTGTCCACCCGGGTTCACAGGAGTGTATTGAACGTGGTTGGACTTAGCTCGCAGCTTCATTAAGGTTTTCCCTCTCACTTCCCCCTATTGGTGACAAGATGCCTCATTCTTAACCCTTCATTCTTTCATTTAAACCTGGGTATTGGGAACTCAGCCAACCCTGGTCTTCTCCTGACTCCTATTACAGCTTGTCCCCACCTCTGCTGCTTTCTGGGACAACTCTTGACCCCAGTCACAGTGTGTGTCCTTGTTCACTTCTCATGAATATTTTCTTGACCTGTATTATGCTTGGTTGATCTTAACCGTGTTGCTGTTGCAGTTAGTGTCATTGAATCAGCAACCCTGTATAGGGTTTCTGAGGAGTTACTGGTAGGTTTGAACTGCTGACCTTGCAGTTAGAAGTCCAGTGTTTTCTCATCTGGACAGTGGGGACATTGGGAGAAGTGTTTCACCTCTCTGTGCTACTGTAGGGTAAGCTCCGGAGGACTGCTAACAAGGTCAGTGGTTCAAACTCACCAGCTGCTCCTCAGAAACCCTTTACTGGCTGGCTCAATGAGTTGGAAACCTACTCAATGGCACTTAACAACAGGTCAAGTGGAGTCCTGGTGCAGTGCTGTAGGATAAGCACTGGACTGCTAACTGCAAGGTCAGTGATTCATACCCACCAGCGGATAAGCACTGGACTGCTAACTGCAAGGTCAGTGATTCATACCCACCAGCGGATCCTTGGAAACTATACAGGGTGGCTATGAATTGGAACCTACTTGATGGCATTTAATGACCAAGGGTCAAGTGGAGAGGTTTGGGTGCAGCTTTACCACCACAGACACATAAGATCTGAGACTTGCACTCTTCTTTCTCCACAATCCCAGCTACTCAAGACACCTTGTTTACTGTATTGCCTTTCTTTTCCCTTTGTAGCTCTGGACTCTTCAAGATCTTTGGCCTCTTTTTTTCTTCATTACATCGCCTGAATTCCCTCCCTAGACACCTTATTAACATCTGATGCCCTTCCTCAAGACCGGTTTCTGACTCATCCATGAATCCCCGTTTCATCTTAGCCCTCTACATGTACCATTATGCTTCTCAGTCATGTCTGTGTCTATTAGGACAGGGATTTGGGCCACTGCACTAAGCCTGCTGTACCAAACAGGCATTAAGGACAGAATGAAGGGGTGCCTACCTGGAACTATTTGTCATTCAGGCATTCAACAAAGACAGTGCTTGTTTTGCGTTACTTCTAGATGTCGGGGACAGCAATGGATAAAGCATCCCTGTGCTCTTGGGGATTATGCTAGGATGAAACTCAGTAACCCAAAAAATAATTTTAGAGCTTGATCAGTGCTATTCACAAGGTGAACACAGAGCCTAGCTGGAGAAAATTTCATGGAGAAAGTGACAAACACGGAGTAGGAAGCACTGAAGGAATGAGCCACGTGGATTTCTGGAGGAAGAGCATTTCAGGCAGAGGAGAACAAGTGCAAAGCGTTTGAGACAATTGTGTGAGTTACAGTAGCGAGGTGGAGTCCTGGTGTGGCGCTGTGGGTTAATGCGCTGGACTGCAAGGTCGGTTTGAATTGCAGACTGCAAAGCCGCTCGTCGGAACCTACTGGGTGGCACTTAACAGTAGCGAGGCGGCTAGTAAGACACATGGAGTGAGGATATGAGGTCAGGGAAGTGACAGACTGGATTGTCTAGCAGTGGCGAGGAATTCAAAAGTTTGACAAATGTTTCCACTCTCATCATGGCCTAGTAAAGCTCCGCTAGTGTGAACCTTAAAGAGCCTTGGTAGTTTAGTGGATTAAGAGCTGGTCTGCTAATTGTAAAGTCAGCAGTCTCCCTGGGAGAAAGATGTTTTTCTGCTCCAGTAAAAATTTACCAGAAATTCTATACAGGGTTGTTATGAGTTAGAACCAACTCGACGGCACACAATCACCACCACCACCAGCACCACCAGTGTGAGTCTTACTGAAAATCCTAACCTGGTGTTACTAAGGCTGCCATAAAAGGAAGTCCAGAAGAGAAGAGGATGGTTTTGGATTGTGCAGTGTAGGGATGTTCCGAAGACTGTCGCTATTTGGGCCGGATTTAGTGTGAGTTTTCTAGAGAGGAATAAAGTATTAGGTGACCCTGGCAGTACCTGGCACAAACAGGCACCCAATTATTAAAGAATACATAGAAAACCGCGGAGGTGGGGTTGCCGTGGGCGGGGCTCCGATGGGCAAGAAAGCTTTTGAGGCTCTTTTGAGGCAGAAAAAGGGCCCTTCACCAAGCATGCGCAGTAACGGAGCACGCCCGTCTAAAGGTCCGCCTTTCTTCTTAGCTTCATTCTACAGCCCCAGCTAGGAGAGAAAGAAGGGTTAGAGGCGGGACGAATCCTGATTTAATGCTCTTTTACCAATCACCTTGCGGGATATTAGGCTAATAGGGCTGCTCAGAACAAAAAGGAGGGAGACTAGGAAATCACGCCTCTTCAACCCAGCCACGCCCTTCATTTTGCTCCGCCTCTCCCGTGGAACAAACCCGATTGGCTGGGTGGCACCCTCAAAGGGCGGGGCCGTACACGTTCACAGTGGGAATGAACTGGGAGGGAGACAGCTGGGCGGGGCTAGGCCCTGTCCTATCAAAGGTGGCAAAGGCCAATGATTCTCCAGGCTGCCTCTCCCAGAAAAGTCATCTTCTCGCGAACCTTTAAAATTCCTGCCTTCTGAGATACCTTGAGGGGCTAGAATTGTCTACCTCATCCATCGTCTTCCTCATTACAAAAGTGGCCAGTCCCGTTTGCTACCATGAGGATGTACCAATTGAAACCGTGTAAAGGGAGCGAGTGGTGACTGGCACTCCTGATTACTGGCTGCTGCTTACTTTGGCGCTACCAAACTTCTGGCAAAATCGGAATTGCGTGTTAGACAACTCCTACTCTTCTTCCTGGCGCTGTTCCAGAGCCGACGCCACGTTCCGTGGTGGGCGCGCAATGGCCGCGCCCCCTCCCGCTGCGGAAGCGTCTTTTGGTACATACAGTACGAGGTGAGTCCCCGCCTTCCCACAGCTCCCGGTTCAGCGCGTGCGTGCGCATGCGCGAAGCGCGAAGCGCGCGCGGTAGTTGGGCCGCTGGCTGTTCGGCCCTGGGATCCGTCGCGTCTCCGGGAGCATTTGGGTCTGACCCACGAACCTTGAGTAGTTGGAATCCAGCCGGCGCCAGCCAGCCCGGGGGCATTGCCCGCAGAAGCCGAGATTATGGCCGGCTGAGCGGGACGCCGCCTCCGCCTCAGCCACCGCCGCCGCCGCCTCCTCCTCCTCAGCCGGCGGCGGCCCGGACCCAGCAGCCATGGCCGAAGACTACTGGGACGGGCGCCTGCGGCGAACAGGAGGAGAAGGAGGTCGTGCGGCCTCATCCCGGGCCGCCGCCCCAGGCGCCGCCGCGCCGGCCCCGAGGCTCTGAGGTTGCACGCGCGCCCCCGCCGGTGAGCGCGTACTCTAGTCGTGGGATGGGGGCTGCCGCTCCTACAGAACCTATCTGAACCTGGGCGGTGCCTGGGGGTTCTGGCCTGCCTGGCTCGCGTGTGTGCCCCCTCCCCTAGCGAATTTCCCAGAGTGCACCAGGGACGGAGGGGGTGTCATTCGGGGCCTCCCTGACCTTGGCCCCGCCCTGGGTCGGGTCTGGGAGTTGGGGATGGGATGTGCTGTGGGTGCTAATGGGGAGCAGGGTGATTGAAGGATTGTGGAAATAGGTGGCCGAGTGCTGGAAGACTGGAGGTTGCTAATATGGGGGGAGGCCTGAACTGTGTAGAGGTCGGAGGCCCACTATGTGCAAATGGGGAAGCAAGGTATTCGAGGATCCCCAGGATATATAGGGAGTCCTGATGTGGCGCTGTAGGTTAAGCATTGGACTGCAGACCGCAAGGTTGGCATTTCAAATCCTCCGGCAACTCCTCAGAAACCCGCGTTATGAGTCGGAACCGACTGCACTTAGCAGGGCTGGGGAGGGGGTGTGCCGAGGTACGCTAAAGGAGGCTGTAACTGTGGAGCAGCCCTGTGTATGCTAATCAGGGATGTTGTGAAGTGCCGTCCAGTCGTTTCCGACCCATAGCAACCCTGTATAGGGTTTCCCAGGAGCCGCTGGTGAACTTGAACCACCGACCTTGCAGTTCAAACAGCTTTGCAGTCTGGTGCGTTAACCCACAGCGCTACACCAAGACTGTCCAATGGGGGATAGGATGGTGGAAGTATCAGGTGTGCTGGCAGGATCAGTGCTGAGGCCCTGTGGTAAGGCACGTCAGGATGGTGGTAATACAGTGTACTTGTCCATTGGGGACTGAGCTGTGCTGATGAGGGTCCGTAGCAGTAGTGGGGGTGTGTGCATGTGGTCATAAGAGACTGCCTATGAGGTCCACTATGTGCTAATGGGGGCAGATGGTGGAGAGACCCCAGGAGTATACAGGGGCAGATGTGTGCAGGGGTAGGGCGGTGGAAGATCTAAGCCCATGCTGATAGGTAAGAGGGGTGTATGTGATTTATTTGCATCTTAAAATTGGATGAGGTTCAATGTAACAAAGGTCAGGATGGTATGAGATCTGTATGTCTGTGTCCGTGAGGACAGAGAATGGGAGGCTCCAAGGCATACTAGTAAAAAGGACAGGGTAAAACCCATATATGTGGTTCTGGTGTTGTTAGGTGCCTTCTAGTTGATTCCCACCCAAAGCACCCCTGTACAGAGTTTCCAAGAGTAGCTGATGGGTTTGAACTGCTAACTTTGTGGTTCGTAGTCCAGTGCTTATCCTACAGTGCCACACCAGGAATTCTAGTGACTACTTATTGCTGTTAAGTGCCATTGGGTCAGTTCTGACCCGTAGCGACCCCTATATAGGGTTTCCGAGGAGCAGCTGGTGAGCTTGAACCCGTCGGCCTTATGGTTCCAACCAACTTTGCAGACCAGGGCATTAACCTACAGCGCCACACCAGGACTCCAGTGACTGCTTTGTTGTTGTTAAGTGCTGTCGAGTCGATCCCAACCCATAGCGACCCTGTATAGGGTTTCCGAAGAGCAGCTGGTGAACTTGAACCACTGACCTTGCAGTTCAGATGGCTTTGCAGTCTGGCGCATTAACCCACAGAGCCACACCAGGACTCCAGTGACTGCTTATGTAGGTTTAAAACCATGGAGATGTTTCAAGGTGTGCCAATGGGGGAAGGCTCAGTCTTGTTATCTCTGGAGTATGCTGATAAACATCAGAACAGTGTTTAGGAAAGTGTATGTTAGTGTCCTTGGGGGACTGGAGTGTACTGACTTTCCAGGGATTGCTAACGTGGGGACAGAGCTGGGGAGGGAATCTAGTGTGTAATAATGGGAATCAGGGACCCGAGAGTTTTGGGGGACTGTAACAAATAGGAAGGATATCATGTTTGGTAAGGTGGCAGGTCAGAGAAAAAGAGGAAGACCCCCCAACGAGATGGATTAGCCAAGTGGCAGCATGGATGGATTCAAGCGTGGCAACAGTAGTGAGGTTGGCCCAGGATCGGGCAGTGTTTTGTTCTGCTGTGCATAAGGTCGCTATGAGTCGGTACCGACTCGATGGCACCTAACAACAACAACAGATAGGAATAAAGGACAAGAATATGTGAAGGTCCAGGTGTGCTAACGTATATTAGAGCCATGGAGGGCTGAAGTGGATGCTAATGGGGGTCAATACTGAATGAAGACCTGTGTGTACTAATGGGGGTTGATGATTATAGTGCTTGTGTGTCCTTGGGGGAAAGGACTGAGTAAGGATTCAAGAGTGTGTCAACAGAGAGGCAGCGCTGTGTGAGGTCCTATGTATGCTGGTAGGGGTCAGAGTGGAGTGATAGACTAGCTTGTGCTGATGGAGGGTACAGAGTAGAGAGAGGACCAGAATGTGTGGTAATGTTGATCATAGCTGTGGAGGGATATGAGTGTGCAAAAAATGGGTCAGGGTTCTGCAAGGTTCACTTTGTGTTAATGGGTTTCAGGGCCATCTGAAGGTCCAGTGAGTGCTAATATGGGTCAGCTGTAGAGGGTCCCCAGTGTATGTTAATTCAGGTTAGTGTTTTGGGGGAGAATACTGTGTTAATGGAGGTCAGTGCTATGGAGAACCAGGGGCAAGGAGGTTTGGCTATCCTGGGCATGCTAAGGGGAGTAGAGCTGTGTTCAATGAGTGTTCATGTGAATCAGCCATAGAGGGGAATTAGCTTGTGATAATGGGGGTCAGTGCTGTCGAAAACTTAACAGGTAAACTGGCCATGAGGGCGCAAGTTTGTGGTGATAAACGTCCCTTCCCCCATGCTGAGAGAGTTTATTGTCATCTGTTGGGACTTTGTATGCTGATGAGGAAATCCTGGGTACGAGTTATGACATGGATAAACGTTAAAGTCCTTGTGAGGCCTCTTTGAGGGTCCAGTGTACGCTGAAGGAAGCTAGACACTGAGAATCTAGTGTGTACTGGGTAGAGGAGGGGGTTCAGGATAGGGTGGGGATGATGTGTTTATGGGAGTGATGATTATGTCCTTATTGGTCTGTGTGGTATGAGGTGGCAGGTGTCCTTGAGTATGAATAGTCTAAGGGTGAATTTGTGTCCTGCAATGGGTGGGTGGTGGTGGTAGGTAGAGGGTGAGGAAGGATCCGTGCCTGTGTGTTTGTGAAGTTGTGTGTTCAGTTTCTTTCTCCCTTCTACTCTAGTCCAAAATCTAAACTAAGAAAACCGAAGGATAATATTTGAAAGTTTCGTTGCATATAAATGTTTAAATGTCTGTTTACAAGGGCCTGCCTGGGACCCCCTCCTGGGGATGTTACGATACACAGATTTTTATACTTCATTTTACTAAAATCCCGTAAGACTGAACTCTAGAACATGTTTAGCCCCTGGGATTTCCAGTGGACTCATGGTTCCTCAGACGGCCCTCTCTGTCCTCCTTTCAGCTCTATTTGCAGTCCTGTCCCCACCGCAACATCAAAGTATCTGGGTATCCATTCCATATGGGAACACAAGACAGTCATTGCGGGGGTTGGTTGTGCTTTACCTTCCTCAGCCTCAGGCCCAGTGTGTCTACCTTCTGGGTCAGGATTTTCTGTTATATTGAGTTTATGGCTGGACCTCATCCTTTTTATTTGAGATCTTGCTGTTAGGTTGACTTCTCTACACCTCCTGGAAGAAGTGAGGTCAGCTAGGCAGGATGCTAAGTTAAGCACCTGATTTTCAGCTAACAGATGACCCACTTCTCTCATTGACTCCAGCCCCAACCTCATCTTCAATCTCCTATCTATCTCTACTTCATTGGGCTTAGGGCCATCATAGTTCCTGCAGTGAGTCCAGATGGTTCCTAGGCCAGATCTTTTCCCTCCCCCACTGGCTCAGAGCCCAGGAGGAAGCAGAGGAAGGCTGGTGTAAACCTTTTGGGTAGCTCCATTCTAGGTCATCCTCCTCCTGATTGTCTTGTCTGGGCTGTTCATAAATAGCAGGTACTCACCACCTTGGTGGAAATTGGTCCTAGGCCCTCAGCCTCCTGATTTCATTCATTTTTGCCATAAGTACTTCTCGAGCATCTACTTTGGCAGTCACTATTCTAGGAGTCCTGGTGTAGTGCTGCGGGTTAATGTGCGCTGGATTGTAGAGTTGGTTTGAACTGCAAGGTTGGTGATTCAAGCTCACCAGTCACTCCCTGGACACCCTATACAGGGTCACTATGAGTCGGAACCAGCTCGACAGCACTTAACAACAATGCTAGGTTCTCAGGATATAGCCATGACCTAAACAGAAATCTCTGTCCTTGTGGAGCTGATCTTCTAGTAATGGTGGGGAGAAGACGGGTAGTAAACAGAAAAGAAACAAATAGGTAGATCTTATCATTTCTAAGTAGCCCTGGTGGAACAGCAGTTAAGTGTTTGGCTGCTAACTGAAAGGTCGAACCTGCTAACTGAAAGGTTTGCACCCATCAGCCATTCTGCAGGAGACATCTGGTAATCTGTTCCCATAAAGATTGCCCAAACCAAACCTTTGCCATTGAGTTGGTTCCTACTTAAGGATTCTGTCCTGGTGTGGCGCTTTGGGTTAATGCGCTGGACTGCAAAGTCGGTTTGAACCGCAAGGTCGGAAATTCAAGTTTACCAGCCGCTCCTTGGAAACCCTATATGGGGTTGCTATGGGTCAGAACCAACTTGACTGCACTTAACAACAACAACACAGGCTGTCAATTTTTACAGAAGCAGAGTGCTACATCTTTCTCCCACAGAGTGAGCTGGTGGGTTCAAACTGCCAATCTTTTTGTTAGCAGTTGAGCGCTGCTGTCCCACCAGGACTCTTCCCTGTAAAGAAAGTAGCCTAGGGAACCTTCTGGGGCAGCTGTGGTCTGTCCTGTTAGGACTGCTATGAGTCAGAAATTCTAATGAGTTAGGGAAAAAAGCAAGGAGAGGAGAACTTAAGGATGGTGGAGATTTAAAATATGTTGTTCTTGGAGACCTTTGGTGGTATTTGTACAATAGTCTTGAAGGGGTGAGTTGAGACAAGAAGCTATTTGGATATCTCAGAGAAAGTATTTTGAGGCCCAGGGGACAGCCAGTGCAAAAGCCCTGAGTTGGGACTGTGCTGAACAGCAACTGAGAATGATAAAGGGGAAGGTGGGATAAAACAGGCTGTTGAGATGGAACCTTTTAGGCCACATTGGGTTGTTTATTTTGGGTGATAAAAGGAGAAAAGTGTGGCATGGCTTGGATTGTAAAACTGAGTGGGACCCTCTGAGTCCCAGTCTGAGTATTTCCAGCAAGTCCTGAAGATAGCTAGTATGCATTGAAACCACCTGCCGTAGCTTCACCCAGTGGTTGTGTCTAGGTAGGACTTCCCCCTTACTTCCTCCCTCCAACCTGATAGACCAGTGGAATGGTCCACTAGTCACTGTGCTGATGGTTTCTGGGGCCTGGCCCCTGTGGCTGTGGGAGAATTCTGCCTCGACAGTCAGGGGTGATATGATCCCAGCAGAACATGCCATTTTATGGGTGTGCCCAGGGCCATGTCAGTGGTTCTGAGCCTGATGAGCCCCTTGCCCCACCCTTGGCTGGATCCACCACTGCTGGATCCACCTAAGAATGCTTGCTGTGGAGCTCTTTGCTCCTACAGTGTAGAGACCAACACCCCATTGGGTGGACCCTTGCCATCAGCCAGCCACTCAAACCTGAATACACAGGTGGGCTACTTAGGAATAGGGTGCCAAGGGGCTGCCCATGGGTGAGCAGGCACTGAAAAGTGTCCCTGCGCATGCTGTGTAAGAATCCTGAGAGGTTCCAGGGGTCTACAAAGGTTGGGTAGGTACTGACTCGGGTTCATAGCAATACCTCCCACCAAATTACCATGGATTTGGGAGTCCTGGTGTGGCACCGCAGGGTAATGCATTGGATTTCAACGTGGGTTTGAACCGCAAGGTTGGCAGATAGTTTAGCAGATGAAAATGTAGGAACCATTCCTATCCACACCTTCTGCTCAGGTCGCCATGGATCGGATGAAGAAGATCAAACGGCAGCTGTCGATGACACTCCGAGGGGGCCGAGGTGTAGACAAGGCCAATGGTGCCCCTGAGCAGATAGGCCTGGATGAGAGTGGTGGTGGTGGTGGCAGTGATCCTGGAGAGGTCCCCACACATGCTGTCCCTGGGGAACCTCGCTCTGGACGGGGCCTACTCAGCGCTGCACAAGGTGAGGATACTAACTATTTTCTCTCCCCGACTGTCCAGGCTGGTTCCCAGGTGCTGCCTTCCAGCAAACAAATTTAAAAAACGTATTTGTTAGCAGCCGAGAGCTTACCCACTGTACCACCAGGGTTCTTCCTGTACTGTTGTACTGTCCTGTAGGGCTGTATGCTAAAGTGAGAATCGATGGCACACAACATGTTTCTCTTAGATCTGTGTTATTTTCCTTTCTCTATTTTCTTCCCCTTCCTTGTTCCCCATGTATGCTCTTCTCTCCATTCCTTGCCATTCTCTGTCTACCTGTACCCCTTTACTTGGCTTGGTACCCAGGCATGCCCTGCCTGCAGCAGCTGCTCCAAGCCTCCCTCTTCCCTTCTGTACTCTGTGATGGCCCCCCATGGACCTACCTGCCCTGGGCCTGCTTCCTCAGGTCCCTTGGCTGCCTCTACTACCACCTGCCCACTGGCCTCGGGCCAGCTGCAATCTCTGCTTGCCCCTGGAATGGGGTGCTTCACTAGGTGACTATTGGTCCACCCCCCACACCCCATTCACCCTGTTCTGCACTTGTGCAAGCCGTTCTTGGGCCCTGCCACCCTTTCCCTGAGGGACTCCAGGCTGATCTGGGGCCATGTGCATGCACATGTGTGGTGAGGGAATGTGGGGGTGGGGTGTCCTGGGGTTCCTAGTGCCACCTGACTGGCCCTCCCCTTCCTTTCTCTCCCGCACCAGAGATTGTGCATGAGGACTTGAAGATAGGGTCTGATGGAGAAAGTGACCAGGCTTCGGCTACATCATCAGATGAGGTGCAGTCACCAGTGAGGGTGCGCATGCGCAATCATCCCCCACGCAAGATCTCCACTGAGGTACTGACCCCCTGCCCATGTACTGGAAGGGGCTGAGAAGGGGTTGGACCTCAGAGGATGGGGCTAATAATTGTCCCCCCCCCATTTTGTCTACGAGGATATCAACAAGCGCCTGTCACTACCAGCTGACATCAGGCTGCCTGAGGGCTACCTTGAGAAGCTGACCCTCAACAGTCCCATCTTTGATAAGCCACTCAGCCGCCGCCTCCGTCGTGTCAGTCTGGTGAGCTTCTCTTCTTCCATTCCTGCTTCCTACACCAGTTTTCTCCCTTGAGCCTGTTTCAGTCTGCCTCCTTTACCCCACAGTCCGAGATTGGCTTTGGGAAGTTGGAGACTTACATCAAACTGGACAAGCTGGGCGAGGTGAGGGACAACCAAGAGGACTGTGATGGGGGATGAGGGTCAGGGCGAACTCCCTGCAGCCTCATAAACTCCTCCTATTGGCTCTTTGACTTATATCCTAGGGCACCTATGCCACTGTCTACAAAGGCAAAAGCAAGCTCACAGACAACCTTGTGGCACTCAAGGAGATCAGACTGGAGCACGAAGAGGGGGCACCCTGCACTGCCATCCGGGAAGGTACAGACCCTCCCACCGTCTGCCCCAGCTTCCTGGACTCCCTCCATGACACACATACATGTCCTATGGTGAGAACAGGAATTGATAGTTCTGTGACTTCCTGCTGCTCTCCAGCCCAGTAGAGAAAGTGCTTATCACTCATATATCTAGGCAAGACTCCAGGGTTGCCAAGAATCCTCTCCTGTCTGGAGAAAAGTTAGATGAATTGGACACCAATTTATTTGACCCAAGTTTCTAGGTAGAAAATATGTGGAATGAATCTGAATTGCATAGAAATCAAGTGTACAGACTCAATTTCACACAGTGATGCAGCCCAGAAAAGGTTGTGAAACTAGTGTCATATGATAAGCCTGAGATTGCAATTCCAGGTTCCTCTGAGCCTTAGTTACCAAATCTGGAATTATGAGGACACACCTTCCTGGCATGGGGAGCACAGTGGCTCTGTAGGATAACAAACTGGACTGTGAACCACAAGGTCCGTGGTTTGAGCTCCATGGGAGAAAGGTGAGACTTTATGCTTCCACAAAGATTTATAGCCTCAGAATCCGTATACGGGGTCGCTGTGAGTCGGAACTGACTCGCTGGCACACAACAACCACCACCATCTTCTTGGCATACAGTGGATTAGAGCCAGTGACTGCAAGATATTACCCCAAACTTTATGGGGGAAGGAAACCCTGGGCTCATCCCTGTCTGGTCTCTTTCCTCAACCTCTATCCTGAGGATGTGGTCCTGACTCTCTGTTGGTCTCATCCCCATGTTTCCTGCAGTGTCCCTGCTCAAGGACCTCAAACACGCCAACATCGTCACGCTACATGACATCATCCACACAGAGAAGTCCCTCACCCTTGTCTTTGAGTACCTGGTAAGGTTGGGTGGCGCTATGGGGAGGTGAGGTGATGGCCAGGAGCCAGGGAGCTTGTTTTCCTTCACTGCCTCCTTTTTTTGCAGGACAAGGACCTGAAGCAGTACTTGGATGATTGCGGGAACGTCATCAACATGCACAACGTGAAAGTGGGTGGTGGGGCAGGATGCAGGGGCACAAGGGAGATTCCACTCACATAGTCTACCCCCAAATTCTGTCAGAAACGGACTTTTCCCATTTGGGTATTTTACTGGGAGTTCTTGGAGGGTGTTGGGATCCTGTTTTCATTTCTGTAACAAGGTTCTGAGCTCAGTGTGTGCTTGGAAAGTGTGAACAGTGCTGGCTGGGGGTCAAACTGTCGGATACTTCTTGACTTCTTTCTCCTGTTATTCCTGGGTCTCCAGCTGTTCCTGTTCCAGCTGCTCCGTGGCCTGGCCTACTGCCACCGGCAGAAGGTGCTACACCGAGACCTCAAGCCCCAGAACCTGCTCATCAATGAGAAGGGAGAGCTCAAACTGGCTGACTTTGGTATATCTGGCCTCCCCTTCCTTAAAACCATCTAGTCTCATTCCCTTTCTCTAAGACCCCTTGCTGCCACAGTCCTTCTCCCCTTTGACCCCCTTAACATTCCCCTTTCCCAACCTCATTTTTTGTTTACTTACCTGTCTTCAGATCTTTTTGAGGATCATCTATACCCAGCCTACCCAGATTTTGCTTAGGTTGCCTTCAAGTCAAACTGCAATCTCTCCCAGACTTTGCTTAGGATGCTCCTTCTCTTCACTTCCCAGGCCTGGCCCGGGCCAAGTCAATCCCAACAAAGACGTACTCCAACGAGGTGGTGACATTGTGGTACCGACCCCCTGACATCCTGTTGGGGTCCACAGATTATTCCACTCAGATTGACATGTGGTAAGGACAGGTGGAAGTGTGGCAAAGACCACGTAGTAAAGGGGGTGGTGGGATGGTCATAATGGCCAACGAATCAACTGCCTTGCTGCTCACTGTGCCCTCCCACCCAGGGGTGTGGGCTGCATCTTCTATGAGATGGCCACGGGCCGGCCCCTCTTCCCAGGCTCTACAGTGGAAGAACAGCTGCACTTCATCTTCCGCATCCTGGGTGAGAGGGGACGAGACCTGGGAGCTATGTGAGCCTGCCAGGGAGGACCTATGAGATGCTTAGGGTGATTCTTCTACCTTGCTAGGAACCCCAACTGAGGAGACGTGGCCAGGTATTCTGTCCAATGAGGAGTTCAAGACATACAACTACCCCAAGTATCGAGCCGAGGCCCTTTTGAGCCATGCACCCCGGTGAGACTGGTGGGTGGGCAGGTGTGCATTAGGGGCCAGAATGCCAAAACTCAATTTGAAGCAGGTCCCCTTGTCCTTGTTATAGACTTGACAGTGATGGGTCCGATCTCCTCACCAAGCTGCTGCAGGTGGGACCACTTTCCTGGGCTAGCCTTGGGGGGTCTGGGAGCTTCAGATATGGGCAAGGGTGGGAAAGAAAAGAGGCCATCTTGTTGGAGGTACCAATATTCCCCCAACCCTCTGTCAGTTTGAGGGTCGCAATCGGATCTCCGCAGAGGACGCCATGAAACATCCATTCTTCCTCAGTCTGGGGGAGCGGATCCATAAACTTCCTGACAGTGAGTGTGGCTGAGGTGTGGACTGGCTGGTTGGGGGGTTTCTGGGGCTACTGAACCACTGTGGACAGCTGAGCAGGTTGTATGGTACTCTGGCTATGCCATCTCTAATGGAGTACCAAAACCAAACCCAGCCCACTGCCATGGAGTCAACTCGGACCGACTTGGACCCATCGAGACTCTATAAATAGTTAGAGGAGAACTGCCCCACAGGGCTTCTGAGGTGGTATCACTTCTGTAAACAGACTGCCACACCTTTTTCCCACAAAGCGGTTAATGGGTTTGAATGGCTGCCCTTGCGGTTAGCAACCAAGCACTTTTAACCACTGAGCCAAGATTTTATGTGTTGAAGTTGTGTTTATTACAAAAAGTTGCTGGGTTTTTTTTTTAATATTACATTTTTAATGAACATTTTAAGCATACAGGAAAATAGATGCAATATCACTTTACCTTTTTTAAAGTTGGTGTTTCTTTGAAAAATACATGTTTTTTATATCTGGCTTTTAAAACTTTAAAATATTTATATATTTGCTAGGGGGCTTCAGGGACTCCTGGTGTGGCACTGTAGGATTAGCACTGGACTGTGAACCACAAAGTCGCCAGTTCAAACCCACCAGCTGCTCCTTGGAAACCCTATACAGGGTTGCTATGAGTCGGAACTGACTCAATGGCACTTAAAAACAACATGGTACTTAAAGAGAGTTCGTGGGAAATTTTCATTTTCCTTCAATTCCATTTCTCCACAAACTTTGAAGCTTCCTTGTATGAAGACAAAATAGTAATCATTCTCAAGTATCTGTTACTTCTACAGTCATCAGCTTTTGGCTAATGTGATTTTATCTATGTATTCCCTCTGATTTTTTAAAATCAGATCCCATATACATTAAATACTTCTAGCATGTGTGTCCAAAAGATTTTTTTAAAAAAACAATACTATTATTTTAAAATAAAAGTACCACTTCCCTGTTTCTCCACTAGATTAATGAAAATCAAATTTCAAACACTATTCATTACCCAATTTGTTGTTAAGTACCATGGAGTCAGTTCCCATTCATAGTGACTAAATCTTTACAGGAGCAGAAAGCCTCATCTTTCTCCTGCAGAACAGCTGGTAGTTTCAAACTGCTGCCCTTGAGGTTAGCAGCCCGATTCATAACCACTACACTACCAGAGTTCCTACCCCAGTTTAGCAGATGATAATTGCAGTGCCATTATCACACTTGACAAAATTAACAGTTTATTGGTGTGATATAATAGTCTACATTCCATTATCTTAGTTGCATCTGGTTTGTGTGTGGATTTGACACACACTCCCCCAATGAGGCCATATGGGGAGTGGTCTTGGATTGCCCTATGGATCATTCTGCATATTTGTCTCCCTTCTACCCATAGCTACTTCCATATTTGCACTAAAGGAAATCCAGCTACAAATGGAGGCCAGCCTTAGGTCTTCGTCAATGCCTGACTCAGGTAGTATATATAGCTTCTAACCCTCCTCCCTACACCTTGCCCGCTTACCTGCTTGCCCACCAACAGCCGCCCGCTCTGCTTTCCCCTGCAGGCAGGCCAGCTTTTCGTGTGGTGGACACCGAATTCTAAGCCGAGTACTAAGCCACAGACCCAGGCCCCAACAGGCAGCGGCTGGAGGGATGCCACACCCCTCGCAGGGCAGCCCCCAACTGCATCCCCTCTGCTTGCTGCCTGCCTACCTGCCTGACCCATGCTCGCCTGCCCACATGTCCCCTGCTGTCTGCCCCAACATCCCACCCATTGGCCTGTCAGCCCACCCATTGGCCTGTCTACTGGGTGCTAACAAAGCTCTCATGGCTCCTTTACTTGGTCTGTCTGTCTGTCTGTCTCTTTCTCTCTCTCTCTCTGAATCGGCAGTTGTCAGCGGACAGCATGGCCGTGCCAGCCTCCCACACTGAGGCCAGGCCTGCTCCCCTCCCCACCATATCTTCCCCCAAGACCACTACCCCACGGACAGCCAGGGGTCTGGAGCTAGCCCAGGCTGGGGATCTGGACTCAGACAAGATGGTGGTGATACCCTGGGTCTGAGGCTTCCCCTGCCTGCCTTCCTGCCTGCCCCACCTGCCTCATGTTGTGTGGGCCTCTTTTGTTTGTTTCATTCATTGTTTTTTAATTATTTTGAATGAGGTTTTCATTTTTTTAAATGCAATATCTCTATACAGACTGGTTGGACCCCACTCCCTATGTGTGGGCCCTCCCACAGTATTTTGTGCAATGAATCCCCTCTCCCAGCCTTGCAAAGGCAGGGACATAACCCCTGTCCAGAATCCTGTCTATCACCAGACCCTGGGGTTGGCTAAGGGAAAGCATGCCTTGGCCACTCGCCTTTTTATACCCCTGCCTGCCACCCCCAGCTGCTAAGGGACCTGGGAACTACCGGAGACTGGGAGATGGATGAGGTTGGGGGGGGGGGGGGGGGGGGGGGGGGGGGGAGGGCCGCTCTTTTCCTCCTCCAGTCCCGTAGCTGGGGCCGCCTTCCTTCTCAGGGTCTCCCCAACCCCGCTCTCCTGTGCCCCCATCCCACTTGGTGCTGTTGAGTAGGGGCCCTGCCGGGAACTAACCAACTCAGAAAGGAGCCATAGTGCATATGTGTACAAACAGGGATGGGCACATGGGGGGTGTGCCCAGGCATTACCCCCTAGCCCTTGGGAAGTATGAGGCAGGGCAGGGGCAGTTTCCGGGGTCATTCCCCAGATAGGTGGTTACTTCCCCTTCCTCTACCCTAAACCCTGGGGCCCCTCAGATGGAGTGGGAGGGCAGGGGCGGGGGCCCTCCTAGTGGGGTTTGGGGGGTTGGGTTCCTGAATGCACCATAATCGCTGTATGAAATATTAAAAGCCTAAAGTAAAAAGCCTGATTGCGAATCCCTACAGGGTGGAGGGAGGGCTCTTGTGCAGGGGTGATTCCTGGGACTTTGGAGAATTAATACCTGGCCCCTTCTTTTAGGAGAGCACGGAAGTGGGCAAAGGACACTGCATGACCATGGATAAAGCTATCTGAGTAATGCTGATGGTCAGGCAGAGAAAGGAATTAGACTTACTCAGAAATACAAGGGTGGAGGTAGGTGAGTGTAGAGAGGCTATTTGTTTGAAAGGTACTTGGAGGGTCCAGGAGAACCAGGGGGTGGGAGTGGAAGATGAGGGCATGAGGCAGAGAGACCTAGTATGACCACATTATCTTACCAGGACACCATGAGGAAGGCCAGTAGAGTGGGAATATGAGTGGAGTGTAGATTTGGGATCATGGAGTATAAGTAGGGGTATCCTTTAATATTTGAATTAAATTCAGGAGTGGACCCAGAGATTGGAGCTTTAAGTTGGAATCATTGGTGTCTAGCAAAGCGTGAAAACCACATGAATGGAAAACAAAACATGAATGGAAGAGATGACTGGGGGAAGGGTGCAATGATTTGTGAGAGGTACGAAGTGGGACTTGCCCTCATGTATGGGGATACTTAGAGATGTTAAGTTTCTTTTGCCTTGTGAGATTTAACCCAATCCCACCATCTTGTGCAAAGCCAAGGATAGACTTCCAGGCAATAGAAGTAGAGTGGGTAGGGGCAGGCAGATGCTGCAAATAATAGCAAACTTCACCAATAGTGGCTATTCATAGGAAGTTCAGAGCTAATGGCCCTAGGACCTCTAATCACCCCACTGTTCCTCTGTAAGTATTTTGATAACTCTTAGCTTGCAGCTTCATGGTGCCTAAATGTCTGCCATGTCCTCAGAGATGGGAAAGCAAGCAGAGCCAAGAGGGCACCCTCTCTACCTGTCTGTTTTCTTGTAACAAGGCTAAAACATCCACAAGCTCCATAGCAAATTTCCCATACCATCTGTTGGCTAGAATCAGATGACTTGGCCCCCTCTGGAAGCAAAGGAGGCTGAAAAAATGAGGGCCTTGCAAAGAGGTACAAGATTAACAGGTTGGATTTAGGTGGTGGACTAAAATTCACCCATCTGCTCGGAGAAGTGGTAGGGTCGTGGGGTACAGGCAGAGAGGGTCTAGGACTAGGGAAGGAAACGTCTTGTGTAGGAAGAATAGGCTAACCCAGGTAAATAGGGTGGGAAAGGTAAAGTCAGAGGATCTGAAAAGATTCAGCAGGGCTTGAAATGCAGATTTGCCAGACCCAACTCAAATACCACTTTCTTTGGAGGTCCCAGGTGAAAGTTCCCTTGCCTATTACAGGGCATACACAACTGAGTTGTAACCCCTCATACGTTCAGTAATACAAATGTAATTCCTGCCTTAAATTAGTAAAAAAAAAAAAAAAAATAGTGCTAAGATAGGAGATCACATGGGGAGAGTAATGACAGGAAAGAATGTTGACACTACAGGGAGAAGGTATCTTGGGCATTCCAGGCCCAGGGGACCTGTGTGTATGGGCCTGTTAAGTGCCATCGAGTTGGTTCTGATTCAGCGACCTTGTATAGGGGTTTTCAAGGTTGCACAAGCAGAAAGCCTCATCTTTCTCCCCATGAACAGCACGTGAATTCGAACTGCTGACCTTGTGGTTAGCAGTCTAGTGCTTAGCCTACAGAAACACCCCATTTCTGTGTATGGGCCTAGAGGTGTGGAAAGGCAGGATTTGTTTTTGCCTGAATTGGGTGGTAAAAGTGAAGGGAGTCACTGAAACAGACCCAGAGTCATGAGCCTGCCTTAACTGTGAGATGGGTAAGTGAAAACAGTCAATAAATAGGCCAGAGAGGAAAAATTTGAAAGTTATCACTGACTGTTGGTAGGATTGGGAGCCCTAGCAGAGAAAAGGATGGCATAGCCTTAGTTCAGTGTTTCTCACCAGGGGATAGCACCACCACCACCCCCACCGCTGGATATTTAGCAATTTTTAGATGCTCCAACTGGGTGCTACTGACACCTTGTGATACAGACCAAGGATGCTAATAAGTAAACATCCTACAGTGGTCCCCACAACAGGTTGAAAAACCTTAGTCTAGTGCAAACAATTTGTTCAGGAACCTTTATAGTCTTAAAAATAGGGGACCTCCAAAGAGCTTTTGGGAGCGTGGTGGCTCCAGATGATAAGCACTGTACTGCAAACCACAAGGTCCATGGTTCAAGCCTGCCAGCCACTCTGTGAGAGAAAGATGAGGCTTTCTGTTCCTGGGACGATTTAAAGCCTCCAAATACCCTATTACAAGGTTGCTGAGTCAGAACCGACTCATGGCAATTAACAATAAAAGCTTTTGCTTGTCATGTCTGGAAATTCTACTGTACTCATGAGTGCACGAGAGTTAAAAAACACATTGTGAAAAAAGTTTAGACTTTGTGAACCCCAATGGGGTCTCCTGGATCAGTAGATGGTGTGAGACCAGTTTAAGAATTCCTGAACTGATGTTTAAAGTCACAGCTCTGTAACCGAAATTCCTGAATCACTACAGCTCAGTCACTTTACTAGCTGGGGAAAAGTAAAGGAAGACTTCCCCCATGATTGCCCAACAAACGATAGTACCTGCTGCCTAAGGCTGCTATTTAAGTGCAATAAAGCACTTAAACAAGGCCAAAGCACCACATAGGCATTTTATTATCATTGCTTGACTTCAGCAAACACACAGGGCCTTGGGGCTGACTTGCTTCGAACGTGTTTGTTGAATGAGTAATTCAGTTCAGTAAGGGAAACCACAGCCTGCCTGGTCTTAGTGGGTCCCTGGAGATGGTGACCTCTTTTAACATTGGGTTTTGATGAAGAGGGTAGTGTAATGAAGGAATGGCATTCTGGCCAGAGAACTACGTTGCCATTCTCAGGCTAGGGGTCCGCGGGCCTCTGCAAAGCACGTGACCAAGAATACTCAGCGCCTGAGCACTACCCAACATGTCCTCTCCTCTTCCACTTCTGCTTCCAACTTCAAAACCGTTTGCTCTGTCTCAACATGGGGTCAGTCCCAGAAATAATTTTTGTCTTTCTTGGCCCCTTCCTGGAGGTTTCGCTGAGCCTATTAGTCTACACAGTGAGCTCTGGTAGTGTAGTGGTTAGGAATCGGGCTGCGAACCTTAAGGTCAGCAGTTCAAAACTACCAACTGTTCCGCGGGAGAAAGATGAGGCTTCTGCTCCCGTCGAAATCTTGGGTCACTATGAGTCGGAACCGACTCCACGGTACATAACCACTATCACCACCATTAGTGTACACAGTGATTGCCGCCTCTGCTTCGATGGCTGCCCAGCCCTTCCATGTGGAGCTGTGTGACCTATTTGTAAAATGGCTTTAGCTCAGCAACAGTTTAAGGGGCTTTGCTTCCGTTTTCGGAAATGGAATACAGAAATGGCCGTTGAGGGGGCCCCTTCCTATAGTCAGCTACGGTAGATGCAAGGGGGGCGAAGAGCGATAGCAGAGGGTGCAACGGATTTTGTGGCATCGGCAGCTGAGGACAGAGCCACAGTGCAAAGCGATGCCATGCTTGGAGAGCCAGCAGCGCCAAAATCGAGAAAAGCGAGAGTGGGCGAGAACGTCCACTGCTGACCGGCGAGAGCTGGTGAGGCGTGACTGCAAGCTGAGGGGGCGGTGGGGACGTTGGCAACTGCAGGGGACGTGGCGGTCAAGGTCCGCGAGAGAACTTCCAGGGGGTCGGAGGACAAGAGGACAGAGGGGCGGGGAGGTGCCTGTGGGTGGATCACATTCCTGGGAAAGAGGTGGGGCCAAGTATGCTGAAGCCTGCCATTTGAGAACAAGAGAGTAACTGACCAGACCAGGGGCGGGGCCCGAGAGGAATCTGCAGAGGAGGGCGGGAACCTGGGAATGAGGAGACCTGACGCTAAGGGACCGCGTGGTTATAACGTTATAGCTTCTGGGAGCGAGGAGGGGTCTGTAGTTGCCCGGTGGTGTCTAAGGAAGAGACGAGGATTGTGATGCAAGGCAGAGGAGCTGAATCCAAGGGGTATGGTTATCTCGCTGGCTGGAGGGAGGGGGGTTAGGAGGAGGGGTGGTGCTTGCGCAGTAGAGGAACAGGGCGCTTGGGAACGAGGCTAGGCCTGTGACGTAAAGCCAAGGGGCGTGCTCTGAGAGGGAACGACCGTTGAGGGGAGGTGGTGCCTATGAGAGAGAAAATGGCGCTTGAGAATAAGCGAAGTTTGTGACGCGGCGAGGTTTGTGAGTCTTGCAGAGGCCCTTTTCCTTGGACGGGCGAAAATGCAGGTGATTGGCAAGGGGAAGGGCCGTTGATGCTAAAGTTATTTTCTGTTTTGGTACTGTTTTATTTCTATAGTCAGGAAAAAAGTTATTAAAAACAAAAAAAAACCCTATCAATACGTATGTTGAAAAAAAGCGTGTTTTATTGATTTCTTTGCTAACCGGTGCTTCTGAAAATTTACAGCTTCTGGGTTCATTTTATTTCTCGCTGAGTTGCATCCCATTTTTAAAACTGAAATGTGTAAGATGTAAGATTACATAAAATCTTTATGTGGCTCAAATTGACGGACATTCTACCCAAAACAAAAACGGCCTGTATGCTTAAAAAATCTCAAGGTCGTGAAAGACAAAGACTGAAGGATTTGCCAGATTAAAAGGAGATTTCATGAGTCAGGAAAGCTAAATGTAACGTGTGATCCTGGATTGGATCATGGAGCAAGAAAAAAAAATTAAAATAAGATTTTTTCTCTTTTACTATAGAAGACAGGAAGATTTGCTGAAATTTGACTAAGGTCTGTACTGTAACAGTGTTAATGTCTTGATTTTGGTAATTGTAATGTGGTTATGAAAGAAAATCCTTACTTTTAGGAAATACATTGCGAAATATTTAGAGGTAGAGAACCATCACGTAAGCAACTCACTCACAAGTGGTTGAAAAAATGACGTGTCTATAAATGCATATAGAGAGACAATGGTAAAGCAAATGGGTAAAATGTTAAATGTTGGGAATCTCAATGAAAAGCACATGGGAATTATTTGTACTATTTTTTGCAATCTTTATAAATCTTATTTCAAAATAGAAAAAAATAGATTATAAATAAAGGCTAAAAGTTACCTAATTTAAAGAATAACAAAACAAAAACTTGCGAATTTGCCATAATGGTTAAGATTTAAGCACCTCCTGTGCTCCCCCCCCCCTTGAGAAACTGTTATCCTGAATTTTTAATTAGTACTCTTTGTCTTTGACCTTTTACCACACCGTTTGCATCATTACACAGTATTTGTTGTCTAAAGCTTTCATTTTGGATACAAAATATACTTATGAATTCAGGCTTTATATGTATGAAATCTTACTGTGTGCATACTGTGTTGCCCTTCTCATCACATCATATCAGGTGGTACATTGTATCCATATGCTGTAACCTGTGACGTCAACCTTGATCACTTGGTTAAGATGGTGTCTGCCAGATTTCTCCATTGTAAAATTACTCCTCTCCTTTCTATACAGAGTAATTCTTTTTAAAACATAAGTTGTACCACGTCGCCCAGAGAGGTTCCAACAGCTTCCCATCTCATGCAGTGTAAACACTAAAATTCTTTGAATGGTTTTGTAAGGCTTTATGAGGCTTGTTGCTTGCTTCTAACCTGATGTCTTCTCAGATCTCTCTCCCTCACTGTCTCTATCTCGGCCATATTGGACTCTAGCTTTTCTTCAAATTCCTCAAACATACCCTTACCCTTAGGGCTTTTGTGATTGAGATTTACTCTACAGAATTCTTTTAATACCTGCTCCAGTGAACTGGAAAGTCTTGTTACTTGAGAGAGAAGTTGGAATTCACCAAGTTGTGAATACAAAACAGAACAGTTTTTTTTTTTTTTCTCCTGCCATTTATCTTTGCTCTCATGGGTAAATAAGGAGCCCTGGTAGTGTAGTGGATTACAAGCTGGGCTGCTAGTTGCAAGGTCAGCACTTTGAATCTACCAGTTGCTCATCTGGAGAAAGATGAGGCTTTCTGCTCCCATAAAGATTTATGTCCTGGGAAACCCTATATAGTGTCACTATTGAGTCCTAACTGACTCGGTGGCACACAAACACCACCATCATGGGTAATATGAAACTTTTTGTGTTTGTGAAACTCCTTTTTAAATTCTCATCTCTTTAGATAATAGTATTTAATTTGCCATCCAGAGTATAGGGGTTGCTGCAGTGGTCGTGAAACCTGTGCTTCCAAAGCTGTTTGAAGCCATGAACTAATTCAACTATACCTACTGCAAAAGAGCGACAAAAAGTTCATGGAAAGATTCCATTATCTCTTAATGTTTCCACAGACTTTTTGATGCCCCTGTCTTTTGTTAGCTGGCACATATAGGTGAAGGCAATTAATTGCTTTAGCCTTATGAACTGATGTAATTTCTAGGGGAAACAAATTTTACGAGTAAATTAAAATCTGTGATAGAATCTCTTTGGCAGTTTTAGCCTTTCATTTTGTGTATGAACACAAACACAGTTATATCAGGGGTGTGCCATTGAGTCAATTCTGACCCATAGCAACCCTGAATAGGGTTTCCAAGGAGCGGCTGGTGAGGTTGAATCACCGACCTTGCTCTTCAAACCTATGTTGCAGTCCACTGCATTAGCCCCCACACAGCACCACCCCAGGACTCCATATCAGGGGTAGCCTAAGATTAGTCTTTAGAAGACCTGTGTGGCTAGTTTCCCAACAGGTAAGTAATCAGTCCTTCAGGTAAGGCAGGGGTGGGGAACCTTTTTTCTGCCAGGGGCCATTTGGGTATTTATAACATTTATGGGCCATACAAAATGGTCTGTTTTAAAAATTAGCCTGCTATAGTTGGTCAAACATTTAATTAACTCATCCCAATGGAGTCCTGGAGTCCTGTGAGCTAATGCGTCAGACTACAAAGTCGTTTGAACTGCAAGGTCCGTGGTTCAAGCTCACCAGATGCTCTTTGGAAACCCTATACAGGGTTGCTATGGGTCGGAATTGACTTGACCAGCACTTAACAACAACAATGGAGTCCTGGTGTGCTGGATTGCAAAGTTGGTTTGAACCTCTAGGTCGACGTTTCACCAGCTCCTTGGAAACTCCAGACAGGGTCACTATGGGCCGGAACCAACTCGACGGCACATAACAACAACAATGTGATGGAGGCCTGGTGTGGTGCTGTGGTTTAATGTGCTGGACTGCAAAGTTGGTTTGAACTGCAAGATTGGCGGTTCAGGCTCACCAGAAACCCTATACAGGGTCGTTATGGGTCGGAACCAACTGGAAAGCACTTAACAACCAACAATAGCAATGTGATGGCTAAGGAACTCTGGTAGCATTAGTGGTTACGAGTCTGCTAACTTCAAGGTCATCAGTTCGAAACTACCAGCTGTTCTGCGGGAGGAAGATGAGGCTTTCTGCTCCCATAAAGATTTACAGCCTCCAAAACCCTATATGCAGGGTCGCAATGAGTCGGAATCGACCTTGGGTTGGATGCTCCCCAGCCCTGAAGAAAGAGAGAGGCTCAGTTTAGAGTGTTACAGCATGTCAAGGGAAACAACACTATTTCATGGGACATTGACCAGTAGCCCCAAAGAGCTGAGGATTTTCTGTCTGTAGAAAACATGAGTAACCATTAAGTTTAATGTGGAGGCCTTAGAACTAAATCAACTGACGATTTCATATGATTGGCTATTACTACAATATATAGCTCTTAGACAAGGTGGGTATGCCTTGGCTACTGGGTCTAATGAAAGACTGCAATAAGCACTAGACTTCTGACAGTAAGTTCTTATTCAGACCTTTTGTGAACAAAAGTGAAAATGCGCTGGATTGCAAAGTTACAAGAACAAAATGAGTTTGTGAGTTTAGAATCCTGAAGGGAGGTAGAAGACAATTATTTTACCAGTCTTTGTTGCTTAAACATTAATATACTTTTTAACTTGAAAAGATCCAATTATTGAAAGATCTTTATGTTAGCATATTTAAATTATTTACAGTTAACCTATATATATATATACTTCTTGATTTATCATTTTAAATACTAAGTTTGATAAGGCTTTTGTAAAATTTTTAAATTAAATACAGTGTGAAGATTTTTAGTTAAACTTAATCATTCCTATTGTCCTTCCTTTTATAGGGTTAAAAGAGCAAGTATCAAATAGGTCTGAAAGAGAATTCAACAGTGTTATTCTGAATTTGGGGTCTGAATTTAGAAAAGACAAAATCAGCAATAGTTGTTAGAGGAGACATAAGTTACAAGTAAAGATAAGAAATATTTGTAGTCAGCATTATAAAACATAAGAATAAACTGCAAATGTTATTGGAAGGTTAGTTTTTTTTAAAAAAATCTCTTTAAAAATGAGTTAAGAGTATGTCAAAAAGCACTAAAAGTTAACAGAATAATATGATAGCAAAAAAGGAGCTTCTACTAATCTAAGCATAAATAAACATAGTAATTTTACAGAAAAAGACCCAAATTCTAATTTTCTTCTTTTGGTGCATTGTTCATATAACAACTTACAGTAATGTGCCTTTATATGTATGTATTTAGGCTTTTATAGATGTGTGAATAATAAATTCAATAGAACAACTTACATTAGATTACATTTACCATCTGAATAAACTGACAACCTTTTTATAAGAAAATTTTACCTTTTAATTTATATTTATATATATATATAGAGAGAGAGAGCACACGCAAGAGAGCGCGAGTGTGTAGTGGTTACAAATTGGGCTGCGAACTTCAGGGACAGCAGTTGGAAACTACCAGCTGTTCTGAGGAGAAAGATGAGGCTTTCTGCTCCCGTAAAGATTTACAGCCTCGGAAACCCTGTACAGGGTTGCTATGAGTCGGAACCGACTCCACGGCACATAATACATATTTCTATTTTTCATGATATAATTAGCCATGTATGTAACCAGAATAACCAGTTTACTTTTCTCCAGATGCAAGAGAAAACTAAAGGACAGAAAATAAAGAATTGTTTAGTAATTTCCATGAGCACATATTTTGTGTCCTTTTACCAAATTTGAGGAAGCACAAATAAGAAAACCCACTACCATTAAATTGATTCTGACTCATAGTAAACCTGTATGACAGAATAGAACTGCTACATAGGGTTTCCAGGACTGTAAATCTTTACAGAAGTAGACTGCCTCATCTTTCCCTCATCTTTCTCCCATAGAGCTGTTGGTGGGCTTGAACCTCTGGATCCTGCAGTTAGCAAGCCAACCCACTGCATCACCAGGGTTCTTTTTTTTTTTTTTAAGTTTTTTATTGTGATTTGAGTGGAAGTTTACAGGGCAGATTATCAGTTTTACATTCAACAAGTCACATACATTGTTTGATTACAATGGTTATAATCCCCTCCATGTACCATCACTTAACAGTATTTCTCTCTATTCATTTTAGCTCTTTTTTTTTTTTTTTAAACACTCAGGCATATATAATAATTTAAACCACCAAAGGGCACATTCTGCAAGTCTGCCTCCTGGCTTCCAGCTCCCAGTCCCTCTCTTTCCATGAATCTAGAGTCCTCAACTGCTCCCTCTCTCCATGTCCCCATCTCTGCCTCTAATCTCTGGTGTCGCTGCTTCTCTGGACAAGACCAAGGTTCCTTTTACAAATAAAAATAAGTGACTAACAAAATTGGTTGTATTTTTATTACTGTTCTTGTTAGATGACATAGTTACTTCCAACTTGTGACCCCCCCCCAAGTATACAAAACAAAATGCTGCAACTTCACCATCTGCACAATTGTTGCTCTGTGTCAATTCATGTTGAGGGTCTTCGTCTTTGCTATTGATCTACTTTACTAAGCACGGTGTTTACCAGTTGTCTGTTTATCATACTTTTCTCTTGTGTGTTGCTGTGGTGCTTTAAACTATGCCTCCGGTATTTCAAATACCAGCTGGGTCAACTATAGTGGACAGACTTCAGCAAAGCTTTCAGACTTAGTCTAGGAAGAAGGAAGAGGTGGTCTACTTCTGAGGGATTGTTGTTGTTGTTGTTATGTGCCGTGGAGTCAGTTCTGACTCATAGCGACACTGTACAGGGTTTCCGAGGCTGCAAATCTTTACGGGAGCTGAAAGCCTCATCTTTCTCCCATGAAACAGCTGGTAGATTTGAACTGCTGACCTTGTGGTTCCCAGCCCAATTCGTAACCACTACGCTTAGTCACTGAAAACCTTATAAATAGCAATGGAGCAATGTTATATACTAACAGCAAAAATTTTTTAAAAATTCAAATGTAAAAGATGCTATTTATGATACAAGGAGCTCTGGTAACGTAGTGGTTATGAATCAGGCTGCTAATCTCACGGTCAGTAGTTTGAAACTGCCAGCTGTTTGGCGGGAGAAAGAGGAGGCTTTCTGCTCCCTTAAAGATTTACAGCCTCGGAAACCCTCACTCCACGGCATACCACCAACCAACCACTTACGATACAAAAAAAAAACAAATTTGTTTCTGCCTAGTTGATTCTGACTCCTGGCGACCCTATAGGACAGAGTAGAAGTGTCCCGTATGGTTTCCAAGGCTGTAAATCTTTTATGGAAACAGAAGGCTGCATCTTTCCTGTGGAGTACTTTAAATACTGCAATGTGGTTGCTTTTTGGTTCAGACAACTTTATCAAGATTGCCACTTGGACTGGCAGAGATTATGAGCCATCCTGATTTCAGAGATTTAAAAAAAACAAAACAAACGTGTGTGTATTTTTCCGTTAATGAAGTATGGTAGTAATGTTTTATGAATATTTGAAAACACTTTTAGACCTCTATGAAGCCTTTAGAAATTCATGTTCTAGCCAGGTCTGGAAGATTTAATTACCTCTATAGACAGCAACGTTAATATTAATTTTCCTTTAAAATTCTGCTCTTAAGGAGAGTTGAGCAGTGGCTCCCTTTGCATCAAAGCACCATTAAATGTAAATGAACTTAGATGACTAGATTAGCCTCATATGGATGAAGTTAAAGCAGTGGAAGGGGGGATAAATGAGTGTGTGTGGAGGGTGGGCCAGTGATGAGTGGAGGGTGGGTCTTTGGGATGAGTGATGGGAGGAGTTGTGTAGCTACCAAGGGAAGAGAGGGTTTGTTTCTCTGACACAAGTGATGGAAATGTGTGTTTCCGTGGCTGGAGTCAGTTCAGAAGGGAAAAGAAACAAACCCGGTGATATACAGAGATGTTGCGTATTCAGGTGATTTGTGTCTATTTCAAAATTTTTGTGTGCTTTCATTCCCCCACCTTTTAAAGGATCCTTTTATAAGCAAGGGAAAGTTAACATTTTAAAGAATCATATGAGGTCAAAATGCTAGAAACCCAACTGATAAATTGTTACATTTTGTTAAGTGCTGTCCAGTTGGGTTTGACTCAGTGACCCTGTATAGGGTTTCTGAGGAGCAACTGGTAAGTTTGAACCGCCGATTTTGTGGTTCAAACTTACCTTGAGGTCCAGTGCTTATCCTCCTTTGCCACACCAGGACTTCACAATGTTGGATACTTTTCATTAATTTTGTTAAGTTTTAAAAAGTGTCTGTTTTTAGGATGTCGAATATTTGGGATAACTTTATGTTTCAAAAATTTCATATCAGCGTAGGTTTGTGTGTTTGCAAGGGAGACTGTATGTGAGCTTTTGTGTCCAAGCCCCATGATCAGAACAATAACAGCTAGCATTCATGTAGCACTTAAAATATGTCATGTATTTTTCATGCTTGAGACTTTCTAGTGGCATTTTCCAAAGGCAGATTTCAAAATAGTCCTAAATGTGTCATCTGTAGTCCATATAAATTTCTTTTTAAAAGGATCAAGTGACTATAAACCATGAGCCCCCAAACCAAACCCACTGCCATTGAGTTGGTTCAGACTCATAACAACCCTGTATGGGGTTTCTGAAACTTAAATCTCAGTTGCTCTTTTCATCTTAAAATTATAACATGTTGATACTTTTAGTGTCATGTAATTAACAACCATGGGAACTTGTACAAAGAAGCCCCATTAAAACATGTAACACCTTTGTTACATGTCTGGGTCATAGGTTCCTTGTGGAGCAGCACTGGTATAAACAGTGGGAAGTATACGTGCAGGGAAGGGACCAGGACTCCAGCACCTTCCCTGGCTGTATCAACAATGCCCAGCTCTTTGAAGGTACCAGGTCTCTGTCTTCCCATCAGCCTCGTCCTGGAGTTTTTATCTCCTCTGTCTAGACAAATCACAAGCACATCCTGTGTGATAGTCATTGGTAGAATGCCCAGAGTTAGTTGCTGATTTCCTTCCTTCCTTGATTCTCTGCCCCCCCCCCCCAGACCAAGTAAAGTGGCACCTCGAGAAAGGACTGGTGGAAGGTGAGGACTATGTGCTTCTCCCAGCGGCTGCTTGGCAATACCTGGTCAGTTGGTATGGTCTGAAGCATAGCCAGCCACCCATTGAATGCAAGGTATGGGGAAAATACTTGGGGTGGGGGGAGTAGGTTCTGTAGGAGTTGGAGGGCAGGAAGGTTTTGTTAGGCCCAGGATAGGTCTAGACCCATGTATGCATGTATCTCTGGGTATGTGGCATACATCCCTCTCCCCTCATATGAGTTTGTGTGTGCGTTCACTTGTGCTTGTTAAACCATGACAGATCATTATGGGGGCTTCAAAAATTTCACAGAAAAATTCCATTATCTTTTAGTTTCATTTTTCCACAAAGCTTTTTGAAGCCCCCTCGTAGTATATCTAAATATATGCCCCTGTACCCCTGTTGTTGTTAAGTGCCATCGAGTCAGTTCCGACTTTATTATTATTTTAAGTCTTTGCGGGAGCAGAAAGCCTCTTCTTTGTCCCACTCATGTACCCCTGAAGGTCATTTATTATGCCTGAGTCTGTCTGTGAATGCTGTACACGCATGCCTATGGATGTACCTACCCTCCTGACCGTTACAGGTTGTGGAGCTGCCCGACATCCAGAAGGTTGAGGCCTGTCCAGTAGAGCTGCTGCTCTTTCAGCACAGTGATACGAGCATACTTCACACTGCCCAGTTCAACCATACAGATTCTTCTGTTGGTGAGTCTTAAGTGTCACAGAATGAGTTAGCATTCCCAACCAATGGCCACAGCTTGGGTTTGTTGTTGTTGTTATGTGCAGTGCAGTCGGTTCCGACTCATAGCAACCATGTACAGGGTTTCCCAGGCGGTAAATCTTTACGGAAGCAGAAAGCCTCATCTTTCTCCCGTGGAACAGCTGGTGGCTTCAAACTGCTGACCTTGTGGTTCACAGCCTGATTTGTAACCACTACGCTACTAGAGCTCCTTATAGCTTGGGTTAGGCTGTGGCAAAGTCAAAAGACATTGGTCAGAATTTGGAGAACCAAGAAGGTCATTTGGAGGTTCATGGTTGGCTGGAGTGTCCCCTAAAATCCCTAGAGTATGTGAGCTGCATTTTAGTGCCTTAGATGGCATGGTAGAGGGTGGTATCCTGAACGTCTTTAAGTCCTAAGGACACAAACTTCTGATGTAGGTATTGATAAAATATGCAAGGTGGGTGGCGATGAGTTAGGGGTATGATACTGAGATAAATAAATCATTGCAGGGTTCAGGAAGACCTTGAATGTGTTCCATTACTCTCCACAGACTTGGTGTTCCATACAGCTCAGGAGCAGTTTCTGGTGAGCCCTCAGGAAGAGACACGTTGTGGATCAAGCACTCAGACTGCTCTTTAGAGCAGTTGTGCAACACACACGTTAACAGTACTTGACGCCCACCTCAAGACTGGGCAGGTAAGGATGGGAAAGAGGGCTTTTTTAGACTGACAGACTCACCTGACAGTGCTTGGGTTGAGGGAGGTGAGATCCAGGTGCCCATAAGGTCCTCCATTAATGTCTTCCCTGCTCTTCTTGCTCTTTCCCCAATGCAGGTGATCATCGTCATGGAGCCCCAAAACAAAGATAGCACTTGGCCCAGTGCAAAGCAGTGTGTCATGTGAGCCATGGGTTGGTGGTCCAGAATGGGGTTCTACAATAGGACTGAACCCATGAACACATTTCCTCTGCATGGAGTAGGCAGTCCTACTGATAGCATTTTTCATCCAACCCCAGGAAGAGCGTGTCGAAGGAAGAGGAGGACTTCCAGGGCCAGCCAGGCGTCTGTGGTCTCACCAATCTGGGCAACACATGCTTCATGAACTCGGCCCTGCAGGTTGGCCCATTGAGGCTGTGTCTGGCAGCCGGAATGGGCTTCAGGAGTTGGGGGTTGGGGATAGAAGTCTAGAAGACCCAGGGGACTTGCAGGGCAAGGGGTCAGGTTGGAAGCTAGGGCCCCACAAGTCCCAATTGACATGCCCTGATGTATTCATGAAACATTAATTCTTCCTTCTAAACCATTTCCCTCTGCTGCCTCCTCCTTTCCTTTTTTGTCTCTTCTCGGCCACCACCTTCTTCCTTCTCATAAATAAATATTGTTTTCTTTGATTCTCCCATCCTCCATCCCTTCTTTCCTCACCTTTCTGGGACCTCGTCACTTCCTTCTCTCTGTCTCCACCTTGGCCACCTTCTCTCTGCCTCATTCACCTGACGCCTACCTCCTGCAGTGCCTCAGCAATGTGCCACAGCTCACCGAGTACTTCGTCAACAATCGCTACCTGGAGGAGCTCAACTTCAGCAACCCGCTGGGTATGAAGGGTGAGATTGCAGAGGCCTATGCAGATCTGGTGAAGCAGGCATGGTCAGGCCACCACTGCTCCGTTGTGCCCCATGTGTTCAAGGTGAGAGAGTCAACAGGATACTTCTT